TGCCACCTCACTGCAGGACAGAAGTTGTAAGTAGCGAAACCACATTTTCTGCTGCAGAAAGGGACAGTAAGGAGTGGTAAGAATTAGGCCTCACCAAATGAACATTCATTTCAATGAGTAAAAGTCACCCTGTGCAGAGAACCAACAGAATGGCTCTTGCCACAGAGCCTCTTCAAATAATGAGACATGTGGTGCTTAGGCCTGAATGCTGACTCTACACAGGGGTGAATTTCACCCAATTGGTATAAGCTTTCAGTTTAGGACACTTCCCAAAAGATTTTAAAAACATTTTTCATTAATACTTCTGATCTCCCACAATACACACAAAGATCTTGTGGGATCTAAACAAGTCATCAAATCACCTTTTTGTTTTTAAAAACAAGTTGGTTTTTAAAAGTCAAATATTTGCTGAATCTTGAGATGTTGTCCCCCCATGGTCCATTGCAGTACAGGAAAAGTTAGTGCCCAATGGCAAGACTTTTAGAAGCACTTGGCACCTACCGTTGCTCTCAAGGCCTTAAGGGGGTGTGTTTGCTAGGAAATTTTGTCGATTTTTCAGCACTGGTGCTGTTCCACTGGTGCCACCAAAGATGTACGAGCTAGTGCAGACTATGCACAGGCCATGATGCCAGTGACAACCTGCAGTCTCTCTCCACTAGACCTTACCCATAGGTGGGACTGCACCTGAGCTGAAAAATGGCTACAACATTTCCCAGAGTAGAGAAGACTTAACGTTTTCCTTGGACCTAGCAAGGGCCCATTTTTATCTGAAATGAAAGAAATTGCTCCTTAGTTTTGGAATTTAACCCATTTCGTCTATACTGCTTAAGTCAATTCATGTGTTCTGTATCTCACTACAATCAATGGCTCTGAATTTGTACCCAGGACTGTCCTGCAGAGTAGGCAACAGACCTACTAGGGCACTTCTGAAAACTGAACAGCTAAATTTAAGATGTGTTTTATGTCTTACTTCTTTCAGTGTTCCAGAAATAAAAAGGAAATTGGATAAAGGCATCTAAGTCATTTGCCTTAGTCTGGGATTCCTTTGATTGATACAAGATGTGAATATTTCTGGGTAACAGAGTAATTAAAAAAAAAAAACATCCAAATCTATTCATAACACAGAGCCAGGCAATAAAACAATGGACTGAAGATAATCTTACCATTCTGTTTGAAAAGCAAATCCGGGCATGTTCATCCAGCCCTCCTTAAAAGAGAAGATCACCCATTTTGCTTAGCCAAGAAAGCTCGGAAAAAATGAGGAATGTTCTATATCAGGCATAAAATGTGAAATACATAGAAATAGAACAGTTTAAATTATATTTGGCATTGCTAAGCCATCTACCAGTGGCAGACATTTTTCCTCAAAGTGCTATCATTGGGATATTGGCAATTCAGGAAGAGATTACTGGAAGAGATTACTGAGCCAGCATCAAAGCAGAACAGGGATTCTTTTTTTTTAAGCAATCATAAAAAAAATTCAATGTTTAAGCAGTTAAAATCTGGATTACATTTCTAAATTTTTTATCTACTTATTCAAATCAATGTAAAGCAGTCTGAAAACTGGTTACTAGTCTCCTCTGACAAGTTCCTACACTGGCATTGTCACTAATGTCACTGTCCAGCTAGCGAGATGCCATTAGCGAGATTGGAAAAGCTTGGTGAAATCTTGTTCCCATTAAAGTCAGTTACAGCTTTGCTACCGACTTTAGTGGGGCAAGGATTTCACCCCCTAAGAACAGTCAAAATTTACACTCAGATGCTGCCTTCTGCTGGAAGGCAAGAAGGAGAGCAAATCACAATAATATAGGGCAGAAATTCCCCATACCTATGTCAATACTGGCATGGGTGCTCCCATTCAGTAACATTGCTCTCCTCTACCACCAACTGAAACCCTTCTACAAGATCCAGGAGACTGGAGACCCCTGGATTAATGCTGCTGGGAGCTCCATGGCCACACTGCATTTGAATCATGTGTTTTCTTCGCCTGCATTGATGGGGAATCCAATGGGTGCAGTGGTTTAAAAGGGATTATGTTGCTGTGGGGAGGAACTAGTCAGACAGCACAAAAGAGGGGTTGACTACTCAGAGACCCTAAGGGCTTTGGAATCAATCTGTGGCTCTTCAGTCACTGAGGTTCAAAAGCCTTATCCCCTTCCTGACTGATAGGATGGCAAACCCCTCCCTGCCGTGGGGAATAGTCCATGAGTTTTGGAGAGAAGTCCCACTCCCATGCATGTTCTCTACATGAGGAGAGGGCTAGTGCCATATTTTTCTATAGACCTTTCACATTTTATTCCTAGTGAAGAAGCATTTGCCTTTCATTGGATATTTTAGCATTTGTCTGTTACTATACTTGTACCCTAGGAAGAAATAGAACTTTCTTTGAAACTTTTTCATACTCCGTTAGCATCATAGCAGAAATTTCACATGGAGAATATTGGCGCTATTAGGACGGACTCATAAAAATGGCTAAAGAGGTCAAAGAATTTATTGCTTAGACTTCGCTTTATAGAGGAACAGCAGGTCAACGTGAGAAGATTGGTCTCAAATTATAAAGGCTCCATCAGCCTACCTGTTTCAAATTTACTTCTTGAGTCAACTGAAACAGAGAGCCACTGTACTTGCTTGAGCATTTTCTGGTACGTGCACACACAAAAGAGTTTTAAAGCAACTGGGCTGAATTCTTCACACAGTAACACTACATGCAACACCAAATAAGTTACTGAAGTTGCACAGGATGTATACGAGGTCACAATTTTCCTCAGATTTTGCCATTAGCTAGCATAGGATTAGCACCTAGTTAAAAAGGAATGACATTTATGCTATGTAAGCCAAACAATTGAAAGGGGAGGGAAAACTGTCAATTGTCCCACCAAATCTGCACTGAACATTTTTAAAATGTGGCATTATCTATATATTTGAGGAGTGAACTAACTTTTGCAGCATATGTATCTGTTCCACCAATATTCTCAGATTTCCCCAAAAGTAGGGTTCTTCATATCAAAACAGGGCATGATTAGCCAAAAGTGGGTCTTCAGTACAAATACCTTGCAGCTAAGTCTGACAGCCAAGTGCAAACTCCAGTATGTAGGTACAGCTGGCCAAATTCAACATCTATTTACAGCCCATGCAAGCAGACAGAAGGCTTGGCCCAGTATATTGATTTGTGATATTTCCCAGAGGACCTCTGAGTCCAGAAATCATGAATGGATTATCATGTTCACCCATTCCAAAAAAAATAAAAATAAAAAACAAACAAACAAAAAAACACAAAACAAACTCAGTTGCCTCAGATAATTTTACACCAGTCTTTGCAGCATTCCCTATGCAAAGTTGGGTGAAGGCAAAATAAAACTTCAATTACTGAGGTAATGGTACCTATTTGTTCAAGGGAAAAATTGACAAGATTTTAAAGGCAACCAGCTGTTCTTGATTTATCAGTACAGGTCTCATCTGTGAGACAAATATCATCCTTTGTTTTACTCAGCTGCAACGGAACATAGCGTAAGAATTAGGCAAAGTGTGAGATGGTGTTACAGCATTTTGTGGCAGTCAGTGGGCAAGTCAGTGGGCGACAGCCAAAAGACTGTTATGTGACATGCCTTTCCATTCACCCAGATGTATGGCATATAGCATAAAATGCTGCGATCTCTATTGCATATAATGTTGTAACACACATTGGTCAGGTATAGAACAGAATAATGTGATGAAGACTGGCCTTCCACTCTAAGCCTTACTTCTGATCAGCCCCTACAGCCCCTTGTAAGTTCTCTTTATAGAACTCATGACTAGGGTGTAAGAACTGGGGTCAATAAGCATATGGTATTTCTTACCTATATACAGAAACTATACATTGGCTGAGCTGATTGGACCCTGCTCTTTCATCTGAATGTTGTTTATTCTTCACAGATGTTGAAATTCACCCCGTACAGAGAGCCAGCACAAGGCATCAACACCTCTTAAGACTTCAGTGGTGCACAGGCCTCAAGTTGGGTCTCTGCACAGGAGCAAATCTGACCCATTATTCTAATTACATTATTATATTACAGACAAAAAAAATAACTAGAAAGTCTGGATTGCAGCCAGAATCAGACATATTGTTTACACAACCATGTTTAATTAGAAACCCATTAAAAGATAGATATGAGCAAAATATTGTGGGCCAAATTACATGCTGATTTATACCCCAGGCCATTCCACTGATCAAACTGGAACATATATAAGCATAGAATTTGGCTCTGGTCTGCCTGGCAGGACAGCATAGCTGGCAACATTACTCATCACCATGAAAATCAGAGGAGAAGCTAGTAAATTCTTATGTGCTGGTCATGCACCAGGATCCACTGACATTTGCAAGTTGGATGGGCAGACCTTTATAGTAAAAGAATTTGGCTCTGTTCCTTTATCTCATACAAGTGCACATCTGGAGAGAGGGGTCCTTTAATATCAGTGGCAGATAAATGATTCAGGGTGAAGATTTGAGATCTTTCATTTTCAGATTAAAAGTAACAGATCCTTCAGAATACATTTTTCCTTCCATCACTCCTGACAGATGCTTAAATTGCGCCCTTCTGGGATATGTGAGGAGCTCATTTTTAGACAAAGCACAGAATATAACATTTTTATATAGTTCTCAAACAGTCTTTTTTCTGAACTGATAACTTTGTGAACTCAAAGAAAATAAAGAATTCAAGACTTGTTTTGTGATCATATTTTCTTGGTATTTCCCCTTTGGAACTAAGAAACGGTTCTTATTGAAGATAAGCCAGAAGGACAATCTTTCCCCCTCCTTTTCTCCCAGCAAACTAATGCTGAGATAGCCTAAACATGCTCAAAGCTATAGCAATAAATCTTCCCATATTGGCTCTCATTATTCAGAAGGAAGGATGGAGTCAAGTAAGAGTATTGCCTCTTTCAGGATTCTTTTAGCATGTGGAAAAAACTATACACAATTAATTTGTACATTGCTGCGTAAACGCACCTTCTTACTCCGCTAGGCATAATGCACCTTCGGATCAACCTGCACTTGGCTAAAAGTCCTGTGAACTTTTGGCTGTAGCACACAGATCCTTTTGCAACTCCAAGCTTCACTCTCTCTTGCTGTGACCCCTTGATGGAGGAATCTGTATCCACAATGCATTATGTTAGCTGGTCTGTTATGAGTTCAGCTCTTTCTCCATAGGTCTTTTGGGAAGGTCCCCTGTATTTTCATACCAAATTTGCACATTTAAAAATCTTGATTTCCCTTGTCTTATGTCAGTCATACAAATGGTGTCATCACTGCAGAGGAATGACGCAGTCCTTGAATAGCTGCATAAGGCCCCTGCTGAAAGTAATGGTGGTATCTGGGCATGTGGAATGATGGGAATGTTGGGCCACTACCTTGCATTGAGCTGGCTATGGCAGAAGGTGTAAGAGGCATTCCCAGGCGGCTGTATGGAGGCAGAGATCCTTGGATTGGATGAGGGATGGGTGTAGCTATGGATGCAGAGCTGGTACCAAGGGCAGTCAAGGACTGTGGGTGCTGAAATCCAGGAAAACTGGTTGAAGAGGATACCCAGGAGCTGAGGGATAAGTTATCGGATGTTGTAAAAGCTGATCCTGAAAGAAAATAAAAGGCTGAAGCCTAAGGTAGCTAAAATAGCAAAAAGATATAAAAGGAAAGGGAATCTTTCACAGCAAAGTTGATATGGAAGACATTCCACAGATTGACTGTGCACTTCATTGTGCCAGGGAATGTCGTGAAGGCCAAAACTATAATTGGGTTAAAAAAAGAATTAGATAAGTTCATGGAGGATAGCAGGCATGCTGGAACAATTTTTATAGTGGGGATGCTGAGAGCCATTGAACCAAACTGTAAATCCTGCATATGATGGAGACCACTTCAAGCCAGAGGGTGCGGTAGCACCCCCAGCATCTCTAGTTCCGGCACTTATGGAGGATAGGTCCATCAATGGCTATAAGCCAAAATGGTCAGGGATGCAGCCCAAAGCTCTGGGTGTCCCTCAGACTCTGACTACCAGATGTTAAGACTGGACAACAGGGGATGGATCACTTGATAATTGCCCTGTTCTGTTCATTCACTCTGAAGCACCTGGAATTGGCTGCTGTCCGAAGACAGGATATTAGACTGGATGGACCACTGATCTAACTCAGTATGGCCATTCTTATGTTAAGAGGGGTTGTCATTGGAAATTAAATACTCTAAAAGAATTCCCTAACTTTTTAGGTTATTATTCCAGGATTGCTCCCTTTTATACCTACACCTTAGATGAAGTTTCATTTTAAGAAATTGGTTGAAGTTGTTTGGAGAGCAAAATCAGCATTGCTCATTTATTTTACATAGCACCTCAAGGAATACACCACTTTAAAATAGAATTTTATTTTGCAGTTTGTCAGTCTGTAGAAGGATATAAAAATGCCATCCACTGTTAATACTGCTGCCAAAAACTGAAACATCTGGCTAGCAGAGGTAAAGTCTCATTTCAGTGCAGCAATGTGTTAAGAAACACACTCCTGACATTTTATATCAGCTGGTCACCAGGGCTGGTTAAAATTTTCCAAAATTTGAGTTTGATAAAAATTTCATCAAAAATTGATTTTAAAAAGGATTTTTTCCTAGTGAAATTTTGTCAAAATTTGGGGAGAGGGGAGGGGGGGGTTGGGGTCAGGGAGGAAAATAAAACATTTGCAAAAAGATCCTATTTTTTTAATCAGTTTTCAGCAAGCTCTAGTGATCAGATAGTAACCATAAGTGGTAGGATCGACAGACTTGCCTGGCTACTGAAATCTCTCAAAATATATTGGAATATTGGATGCAGTTCTATTAAACATGTGCTCTAAGGAAGAATTTTCTAACCTAATAAGGGTTTATTATTTGTTAACTTCCAAAAATTGCTGTTTTCTGAAACCTCACACCCTATAGCATTTCTTTGCTATTCCTCTCCTTTGAGGATTTCAGAATTAGAAAAAAGTAAGACGGTTAAATTACATATGAAAAAAATGTTTTAATTAGCCCACTTGACAGCAATCTTTTTGGCATGCCTGTGGATAATTTGCTTTGATAACTACACTAAGGCCTGGTCCACACTAACCCCCCACTTCGGACTAAGGTACGCAAATTCAGCTACGTTAATAACGTAGCTGAATTCGAAGTACCTTAGTCCGAACTTACCGCAGGTCCAGACGCGGCAGGCAGGCTCCCCCGTCGATGCCACGTACTCCTCTCGCCGAGCTGGAGTACCGGCGTCGACGGCGAGCACTTCCGGGATCGATCCGGGATCAATTTATCGCGTCTAGACAAGACGCGATAAATCGATCCCAGAAGATCGATTGCCTGCCGCCGAACCAGGAAGTAAGTGTAGACGTACCCTAAGGCCATGTCTACACTACAGACACTATAGCAGCATAGCTACAAAGCCATAGATATGCCTCTATAACAATGTCATGTAGACGAGGACTACAACTACAGAAGAGGTTTTTCCACTTTTGAAAGTCAATCACTCTCAAAGTCTGATGCAAACTGTGCACTCGGTCACGGTTATTCATACACATCTGATTATGCAGCTCTAAAACCCAGAGAGGTGACAAACACTACAAAAATATTAATTTTTATTATTATTATTTCTTTGTTCATGTCCTTTTTGTGTTTGCTTTTCTGTCCAAATCCTGTCCTTTTGAAATCAATGGTGAGACTTACATTGGCTTTAATGAGGCCAGAATTTCACCCTAACTCAGCATTCTGGGAAATAAGTTCACTGACAAAAATGTTTGGCAATGCACAATCTTAAGCCAATATTGCAGAATATTCTTGGGGAAAGAATTTTAAGTTTACAATAGGTGGCATTTGCTTCAGAAATCTGACTGGAAGAGATATGCTTAGCCAGTCATGAAAGAGAATATGAAAACACATATATGACAAAGAAAAACAGTTTGAATGATATACTGACTATTCAGAACAAACAGCTCACAAGCAACATGTAGGCAAACAATTTTTTGCAGAAGAATTTCAAACAACAAATACATTTTGTGACACACTGCACCCCATACTCACCACTGTCATATAATTATGACATGTTTTGTACAAAGTATGCCTTTTGAGGTATCATTCTAAAAGTCTTGTTCTGTTAAACATTTAATACCCTGTTGGATGGTAAGTGCTATCATTGTATGTGGAGTTATGAAGTTTGGCTATGTATGTGCTACTGAAACATGTTGTGAGGTTGAGAATGCCCACAAGCAGCCTTTCAGGTACAACAGTAAAAAGGCCAAACAACGTTAATGGCTTATTGAGGAAATACACACAAACACAAGGTTTACCCCAGGAACTATGTACAACCGAAACCTCTCCGAGACAGCACTACACAATGGGAAGTATTTGACGCAGGTAACAGTAAAAAAGCTTCCCAGCAAGTTGGAAGAAGATATAAGGGGGGAGTGACATGACTGGACCTCACTCCACACAAAAGAATACCTGGAAACACCTGAGGAAAAAAGACGGAACAGGGGAGAAGTGCTGGTCCCAGGCTAAAGAGATTTCTAGCCTGTATATGGAAACTTGGTGGACTGCTTGTATCATCAGCCAGGGTGAGATATTGCTAATTCAAATCCGATCTATCTAGTATATTAGGCTCAGTTTGTGTTTTTGTTTATTTGCTAGGTAATCTGCTTTGATCTGTTTACTATTACTTCTAATCACTTAATCTATCTTTCTGTAGTTAATAAACTTGTTTTATGTTTTATCTTAACCAGTGAATTTTTGAGTGAAGTGTTTGGGAATCCTAGCTCTGTAAACAAAGGCTGTTGCATATCTTCCCCACATCGAGGAGGGGGAGTGAATTAATTAATAAGCTTGCATCATACAGATCCCTGTGCAGTGCAAGACGGTATAATTCTGGGTTTATACTCCAGTAGGGATGCAAGGCTGGGGAGCTGGGAGCCTCCTGTTTGTCCATGAGTGGCTTAGGTAAAGCATTCAGGTAACTCAGCTGGGTGTAGTGCCACTTGCTGTCATGCTGGGTGATAACAGGGCCTGGAGAGAGTGGCTGAGTCACCAGCAAAGCAGTGTGAGAGAGGCCAGCCCAGCTGAATTGTTAGGGGGCACAGCAGTTCCAACAGCTCCCAGACTGTTAGGGGTCACAACCACTCACACATTTGAAAAAATAAAATAAAATCAGTCTGATCACAGACAAATCCTCAAAAGCAGAAGAAAAGCAAAATTCATTGGATAAATTATTCATGATAAATGCTTCCCCTGCATAACTAGACAGGAAAAGCAGTCCAGTAAAAGTGAATTGCTCTAGAATGAAAGGTATGTCAAATCCATAACAGAGGTGGACTTGAACCAAATTCCGAACCAAATCCGAACATCCCTGAACATGGGAGAAGTTTGGATCTAGACCCAAACTGCAAAGACAGCTTCTCTCTACAATAGACCAAAACAAAATCTTGTATAAACCCTGAATCTGAATATCTCTGAGTTGTGTGGAAGTTTGTATCCAAATCTGGATTAGTATCTGAATTTTACACTTGGCTCTATCTCTACTAGTAACCCTGAGCTCTGTCATGTATGAGTTTGTGTACACATGCATATATGTATATGTGCACACATAGGTACACATACAGTATATTTTTAACTGTAGAGGGTTATGTTTTGTGTACCAATATGTATACCTCCTATTTGTTAATAGCTTTGGTAACCAGACTTCATGTTACCATGAACTTGACATTTTGTGTTCTGGAGACAGTGACAGCTTCTCTGGGATTCTCAGAAACTACTGGCCTTTGTGATCACATTTTCAGATTTGATTATTGTATTATATGGGATATACCTATCTCATAGAACTGAAAGGAACCTTGAAAGGTCATTGAGTCCAGTCCAGCCCCCTGCCTTTGCAGCAGGACCAAGTACTGTCCCAGACAGATTTATTTTTGCTCCAGATCCCCAAATGGCACCCTCAAGGATTGAATTCACAACCCTGGGTTTAGCAGGCCAATGCTTAAACCACTGAGCTATTCCTCTCCCCCCCAAGACTGCCTAAACAAAATGATCAAACCAATTTGGGGTGAGGAGAGGACCCTTGCAAACCATTGCCTGTTGCAAGAATTAAACCCAAAATAAACTTTTGGAGATCCTGAAAAAGTTTGCAGATGAAGCAGGTCATGAAGTCACCAGGCAGGGAATAACACATTAAGGACAGTAAGGGATACCCATAGCCCTACAGGTCTATTTTAACTAGCATAGTGACTGCAGATGTAACTTGTCCAGCAAGCATCCATTTGGAAGGCAACTCGGGGTAGCAATTGGTTTTGCAATTGGTAAAACAAGCAAAACTAAGTCATTTGGGAGTGAAATGACAGGAAGGACTGGGGCTTTAGTCAGCCAGGTTATTACAAGTTCAAGGCCAATTCTCCAGCCTGCATGTTCCTTGGCACTGCTCAGGCAATGCAGCATAGACATATTCTGGCTGGAGATGGCCAGCAGAGTTGTTCTTGGGTAAAGGAATGTTCCCTGGCATCAAGCTGGTGAGAGCAGCATAGCTCTCTCCTGCACCAACCACCTCCTAACTCACCACCAGTGAACAAAGCATGCCAAAGATGGGCTGGGGGCTAAACTCCACTGGTGTAGGATCAGTTTGGGGCCTTATCTCAGTGGCATAAGTTAAAGCAACTCTGCAGAGCTGGGCAGCACTGGTTGTGGCCCCCTTCTCCCCGGCACTGCGAAGAGTTGAGATGCAGTGGAGAATTTAGCCCGTAGTGTGTTCTCTTCAATGTACTTTCCTACCTCTGCTTTGTGTTGCCTGGCTCTCATCTCCCAGAACATCATCTTCTCCTCCATAGGTTCTGATGGGGGAGCGTGCATAGGAATGCTTTTGAATAAGGCTCTCCACACTCTCTCTATGGAAGAAAGCAATATTGTACATCAGTAGCATCCTAAGCATTACCTCCTCTGTTTAGTGTATAAACCCCGTAACCCATTCTATGCTGTAACTAAGCCAGATGTGTCTGACGCGTATGGATGACATCAGTTCAGACACTATAGCTGAATGAATAATTAAATTAGGGGGGGAAATGATGAACAGATTGTCTCCGCTCATGAAGTGCGCACCAACAGATCATATTTTTCTCAAAATCATTAAAACAAGATGTTTCATGCATTTCAGTTACTCTGTGGCTTGTGTTAAAAATCCCAAATGCAATCAATATTGTTTACTCATTGTTGGCCACATCTTACATTGTATTGTGTCTGGTCCTGGAATGAATGAGAGCAAATTTACCACCAAGTTTCTCGTGTATGTTTTCACAGACAGTCAATATAAAACCAGCCTCAGCAAGTATTTGAAGATGCAAGCTTACAATTCACATTCTGTGAACATTTGTGCTAGTAAAACTAGGTCTGGGTCAGGAGTGATGGTCACAATCCAATTCACAATGAACAAGTGTCTACTTCACAAATACTACCATCACAGCTGGCACTCCCCCATTCTTGCACAGATTATCAGCAAGATCAGGGCATAGGCATGGACACAGCTCACCCGCAAGGACAGTCCTCACAGTCAGGGTGTAGGCATTTTACAATACAGTACAGGAAATCTGCTGTGGGAAATCTCATGTGGTACATATTCTGTGGACTAGCAGAGGTCTGGTAGGCCTAGACCTCTCAGCCTGACACCTTGAACAAGCACTGAATTCACACAAATAGAAGAAAGTCATAGCTACATGATGAGTAAACCAATTTATGGAGAGGACCAAATTAATCCCTGGTATATTTCCATTTAAATCAGTGGCATTACACCAAAAATGAATCAAATACATTTCCAGTGTGACTTTATATTCCTGTTCTCATCCAGGAAATCCAGTCTATAAAGAATTGGGGCCTATCTTACAGCACTTTCCTCCTACCAAACCAGGTTTTGCTCTTGCTGAGCCAGCTCACTCCCTGGGGTAATTCTGCCTGAGCTCTCTCACAGAATCCAGGCAAGCACTTTCTAGCTGAGGTAGATGTTTTTAGTTTAAGGCTTCTTAACAAAAACAAATCCAAACTTCACAGACTCCTCCCTCAAAGCCTGTGCAGGCCAAGTAGTCCCTTCCCCAATTTTGCCCCTCACACCAGCAATGCAAAATTTCCTGGCTCTTATCTCAGAGCCTCAGAAATAAAGGACTTCACACAATCTCCTTTCTGTCCATTTTGATTTCTGGAGCAATTCCTCTCTGCAGTAGCTCCAATAGTAGTTCATTGGGAGCATAGCCCCTGACCAACCCCCCTCAACTTTCTGATGGGTGTTGCAGTCTCCCCTCTCTATTTCCTGTTGCCCTCTTTTATACGGATCAGCCATTAAGGTCCAGCTCTTTTCTCAGGTGCAGAGGGCAGGGCTAATTAGCTAGCCAGCCAACTGCAGGCCTCTGACCCCAGAGGCATGGTATCCCTTATACCTTCACAAAGGTAATACATCTGTTTAGCGCAGGTTTCTTTCAGCCTTACCATTTGATAATTTTGCTACATGTATTTTATTATGGCAATTCAGCTGTTGCAAAAATTCCAAGGAAAAACATTTTCCAAATAGCACAATAAATCACCGTGCCACATGTTTTCCTTTCCTACAAAAAGGCTATTATAGTCATTTTGTCCTTGGTCTATCGCTGGTATCATTACTTATGCTAGTCCCCTGGAAAAAAAATAAAAAGGGGATCTTATCTAAGTGATTTACTTGTGTCAGGATTGGAAGTGGACTGAAAGCAATGGCAGTTCCTACATAGAGGATGATATAATTGAATTATTGCCTTTTAAGTGATTGAAAACAGTGGGCATATCAGGCCTATCTCCAAGAAGATTTTACAAAGAAAAAGACAGACGGCATTGTTTATGTTATGTATTTAATGCCTCTTAGTCTTTTCTTTTTCAAACAGACTGGGAAATGTTACTTACCAAGAAATAAATAAATAAACATGGAGAATAGGAGACCAGCATAGAATAATGAATTGGGATTGCCTTGGCAAAGTGGGGTAGATGCCAGGCGGTAAGCACTTTCACATTTGAAGGCCAGATATACAGCAACTAACCTTAAAAGCTCTGAAAAAAATAAATCACTTTCAGGTGATATGTCTGTATTGACTTTATTAGTAGTAAATGTCTGCTTGTAATGATATACTCTGATGTACGGTATGTAATAATGTTGTGAAACGGCAGAAACAATGCAGGCTCCAGTTCTAGTTCAATGGGCCAAATTCATCTGTAACCTTATGAGGTTCAATGGAGGTACATTACAGATGAATTTGGCCCAATAAATTTACCTTTGAATTTCCCTATGGGAATTTAAAACTAAATCAAATACCCACAATTATTGCAGACTAAATTCTTTCCAGATGGGTCACTTTGCTAGACAGAGAACTGTATTATCTTATGTGGTTGTCTTTTTTCAAAGGGAAAAGAGGTCTGACTTTTAAGTGAACCCTGAATGTGAAAAGTTTGAAAGTGGGGCACAGTATGTTAGGATTTTTTTTTTAAATTATTATTACTATTATTTCGCAGATATTGTGCCACAAATCATCAGATTCATTGTGAAAAGAAAAGTATTTTAAAAACAGGAAAAAAATCAGAATGAGGAAACTGAGATTAGAAAAAGCAGCTCATGACACAAAAGTGTTAGTTCTGAGCTACAACCTTGGGCCAGGTCTACACAAAATTTTTTGCCTGTACTGTAATGTCGCTTAGGGCTGTGATTTTTTTTTTTTTATGCCTTTTTATACCAGCAAAAACCCTAATGTAGATACTGTTATACTAGCAAAAAAGTTCTTTTGCTGGTATTGTTTATTTCATTGGGGAAATGGAATGAGTTGTACGGACAAAAGAACTCTTTTGCTGGTGTAAGCTGCATCTGCACTAGGACGATTTGGGTTAGAGTTTTAACGGCAAACCCTTTCTAGTGCAGACAAGGCCCTGTTCTCTGCAGCTGAGGTTTAACATTCAAAATTTTACATAAACTAATCTAGTCTGACTGCATTGCTGGTTTATGGTTTTATTACAAAACAACTAATGATTTTTAATTTTAAAGGTCTAGATTTTGAGTCACACAACGTGTCTGTGTGGTGGAGTAAAAGAGTAAGCCCTCCAACCAAGTACCCCCTACACAGATTACCTGGAATTTTGGATTAGACAAAAGTGCACTATCTAGGATACCTATAGCATGACAATCTGTATATGGAGATTGGGGGTGGGGGAGAGAAATACTCAAAAAAAACCCCACCCCAAACATAGAAATGAACTTAATGGGAACAATACTCATTTATTTAAAACGTATAGTTTTATATTTATATGTGCAAAAGGTCTTAAGCAAATGAAAGGGATTAAAAACTAGGCTGTTCATGTCACAACATTGCTCAAAAGATATATGCAGATAATTTTATAAATCACTGAAAGAGAAATCAATATTTGCCATATTGTGATTCTGTTCAATAAAAATACTTAATAAATGAAAACTGTAGACTGAAAATCAGATTGTTTGTGTTTTTAGATGCATTCCTTGAAAATGTTCAGAGTTGATCTATAATCAGGTGACCATCTTGTGAAAAATGAAGTAATTTCAGTTTAGTCCAAGAAAAGCTTTTGGTCTTCAGTTTGCAGATAGTTATTGCCTAATGCTGAACTCAACTGATTTTTACTTTATGCAATTACTTAGATTTCTACAACGCCTTCTATTTACCAGTAAATTTAGGTAACTGAATATTGGGAGGTTTAGAGCTGTAAGAGAAGTGGAGGTGAAGATGCTATCTTACTGCCAATTTCTTTTGCATGCTCTCCCGACATTTTTTCACCCTTCAAGCTCCCCTTTTAAACTTAGTTCTATTGTAAATATGAATGAAGTACACACATTAGTACTATAAAATATTATGATCAAATTGTGCTAAGTATACAACCGTACAATAATAGTATGGAATGGGTTGGAGACTAGGAAGAGCTCATAGAAGATAGGAGCTGAAGCTGTCTGAACAGGGGAGTAACTGTGTAGCAGAAGGAAACTGATGGCAAGAAGGAAACCGAGTTGCTGCTGGCCAGCATGGAACAGGAGGACATGCTGATGACGGTGGTGGAGGAGGTAGGATGAACAGGATAAATGGTAATGTGAGAAGGAAATTACGAGGATCTCAAAGAACTGTAGAGTGACAGAAGCACGTGGTGAGACAAGACTGGTCAATCAATCTTCATTTATATTGAATAAAAAGTCCCTCTCTTCTCCACATCAGAAAGAAGCCATAGTGGTTTTGAACCATGAATCCAATAATGTGGACAGGTCGTAGCATTTCAATGATGCATGGGTGACTGCAGCACCCATTGCATGCTGCATATCAAGGATAGTAACACTATGGCTCATGGAGAATATTTTTTCTCTCAGAGGATCATCAGAGCTTCCACACCTTGGTTGCAACATTAAGCCACCAATTCTTGTGTTGTATTAACCTGTGGGTTGGATGGCTCAGTCTTATCTCTTATGGTAACTCATTCCAAAGCTGAGATCTCTTGACTGACAATGCTTTACCTCCAGTTTTCACAAGCACAATCTTAGGCCTTGTTAGCGGCACTGTCCTGGAACAGCAGAGCTGTCTCACAGGACCATGAATTGACAGACAGCCTCTGATGTAGCTGGGACCTGATCCACTAGCAGATTCAGACCAAAGCCTTAAATTGCCACTGCCAGTGACCTGGGAGCCAGTAAAAATTACAGAGCACTCTTAAGTGTTCTTTGCAACTGAGGAGCGGGGCAATATCTTGCATAAGCTGGAACATCTGTTTCCTTCCATCATCAAACCCAAGTGAATTATAGAAATTCACTCTGGAGATGATAAAGGCAAGGATCACTATGGCCAGATCCTCAATCAAGATGAAAGGGGCTATGCTTCCT